CTGCTTTTTGCGTATGCGGTTGTACGTTGATTGATTGTTTTGTTCTTGTTCTGCTGAGCTCTGATGTTTTGTCCGTAGGCAACAGGCGGAGTTGATGATTAAGCCTCCCAAAGGAAACGCTCATCACAGTGCTTTGACTGATTTCTTGCAGAGCGGATTGTCTTTGCTGTGCATCCAAATTGTATTACATACATACTCTCATGAACGCGCGCGTTCGAGCTTCAAACATCTTTGCGTGCAGAACGGGATCACTCAGCACAGTGCTTTGATTGACTTCGTCCAGGGCAGTCAGGATTGAATGTTGTTGTGCATTCAAAATCGTACTATATACACACCCACTAGAGCCTGTGGATACGGAACGGACCCCTTCCAGCTACACCCACTATCTTGCAGCAGTTTACCATAGGGCGTAGCTGCAACCTGCAGCGGCGACTATACATGGCCCCATCAGCTTTCATTTTCGTCCCTAGGGCGATGCAAAGCTTGTCAAGGCTATACCCCCAAACCACGCCATCTCAAGCACTGATCTTCCAAGTGGCGTTAGCGCTGGTTCACTTGCAACCCCATCTCCGTCCTGCGGCTTTTCTCGTCTGACGGGGGTGGTGCGACATAGATCCAACGTTTCTAAAGCTTCGACATTGAACATCATACCGGAATCTCGACCGAAGCACTGTCCCAGTTGTGCACTACCATACATGTTCACGAACCGAGCTTGTATCATCTTGTAGGCCTCCTCGAGTGTTGGCTCACGGTCATTTCTATATTCTTGATATCGAAGATCGTAGCTTCCTTTCTCGCCCACTCACGTTTCCCCTCACGATCCCGAGGCCCTCTTCATCTCACTCCACAGATGCCCCAGCTTAGCCGACGACGCTCTTTAAAGAGTGGTGGCAGGCAACGACCTCAAGAAAGAGGCTGCGGTCATCGTCGATCCAGTGTGGCCTCGCCGGGCCACTTTGGCAGACGATTCCACAGAAGTTCGATTGTTATTGGTAGAGCTGCTGGCGGAAACGATCAGGCTGTCGAGCTATCGGAGCGTTATGGATGGGAGATCAGCCTCTGGACTGGCCCCAAGTGCCGAAGAGCACGCAGGAGATGCGCTTGCGGTTTTGCACGTAAGAAGATGTGAGATTGGCGAGTTTCCGTCAAGTTAACATGGCAGGTAGTGCCAAGTAAAATTTCGTGCATGCTGGCTTA